ACTGTGGGGCTTAGTAATGAAGAGGAGTGGCCAGGGGGTTCATGGCCAGGCTGAGGGAGCACTGAGCAGATGGTGGCCGACACCAACGCTAAACACACTCAGGACGGGGTTCCACGGAAGGCACAGGGTGCGTCTAAAGAAACACATGGGAAGCGGGCCTTGCCTTTAGTGGCTCCTGCGTGTGTCCAGGGCACATCTAGGAAGTGACTGAAAGCCAAGCCTCTGTGCCACGGGGTAGTGACCACAGGGTAGAGACTCACATAGGTGTGTCCAGCTCTGTGAGTCAGGCCCAAGGACACTGGTGGGAGCATCCCAACTGGGAGTAAGGTCTGAGGCACCCCCAGCTCCTCAGGCAGCAGAAAGGGGCCAGGGAGGAGGCTTCAGGTGTCAGGAGCCAGCCCATTACTGGTGTGTGGCTGGCATGTGCCCTCTCCTGTTCCCACTGGCAGAGGAAGATGGGGCAGCACTTTCCTGTCCTCCCCTCTAGGCCTCCAGCTTCTAGGCACGAAGACCAGACTGACTCCTGCCATCCTGAAGTGTGACTCTGAGGGAGCCCTGAGTACAGCACGTTACGTGGCTCTTTCCCCTCCTGGATGGGAAGCCTTGTAGCCCTCCCCACCTCCCGGCCCGGGAGCACGCCCGGGAGCACAGCCGAGCCGAACCTTTCCTCCTGGGACTGCCTTTGCCTCCCTCACTTTCTGACACATAGAGCTTGTGAAAACCTGGGGAAGCCTCCTTCCCATTCCCCGGTATTCGTCCGACGGCCCAGCAGCCCAGTGGCAGCCAAGGAGCCCTCATCGTGCTCAGTGAGCTGCCTCCTGGGGCAGCCTGTGGGGAGCCAGGGCCCTGTGGGCTGCATGCAGATGTCAGTCCGCCTGAGCAGCAGCATCACTGGTGTTTGTTTTTGTCTTGGTTTTCAGCCATATGGAGAGTAGGGCTGGATGCAGGCAGCCTCAACTGAATATCGTCCTGACTGCTTACTGAAATGGAACACTTCCAAGCACTTTTTAAGTATAAGAGTCCATTATGGGCTGGGTGTGGTGGCACATGCCTGTAATCCCTACACTTGAGAGGCTAAGGCAAGATCACCATGAGTTTGAGGCCAGCCTGGGCAACACAGTGAGACCTTGTCCCCCCAAAAAGAAGCCCATTATGGTAACAACCTTCAAGGCTGTGCGTGTATGTTTTTTGTTTTGTTTAATGTATTTGGTATAGGGTCTCACTACGCAGCTCAGACTTAGTGATCCTCCTGTTTTCAGCCTCCCTAGTACTGGGATTACAGGCGTGTGCCACCACACCTGGTCTCAGTGGCGACTCAACTTGCATAGAGGTGGGGGCAGAGCTGGCGTGGCATGTGGTGCAGGGGATCGAACCCTGGTCCCTGCACTTACCTAAGCAGGCACTTAGTCTGCTGAGCTATCCCGCTGGCCCCAAGGCTATGTCTTAAGGAACACAAATATGGTTTTTTTTTTCATAGTTCATGAAAAGTACACTAAAGTATAGCCATTTCTCTTAGTGCCACTTATCCAAACAACAGAAAAGGAGAGCAGGAAGCCATGCCCTTCTAGCCCAGACCTCTGCTGCATCTCCCCCGGGGCAGAGCATTACTGGGGAAGTGCACTGATCAGATTTGCTTCCCTTGTAGCCTCGGAGGTTGAACTCCGTGAAGTGTGCGGATCACAGTGGCGTCTGCCCTGGAGCAGAGTCGCCGGTGGGCTAGAAGTCAGGACGGGGTAGGGAGACACGTGCTCCAGTTCCTGTGTCCGCAGGCCGGGCTGGGAGTGCAGCCAGGCCCAGCAGCCCTGCCATGGTGGTGCGAGGCAGGACCCCTTTAGCTTAAGGTTCCACGACAGCCATTGAGCTAAGGAAGCAGTCTGCGGGCTGCAGGCCCTCAGCTCTCCATCTGCTGCAGTCTTCTTGGTTTGAGCAAGCTGCAGCATTTCACAGAACAACAGAACACTTCCTCGGTTGGGTAGAATCGTTCTGACAGTGTCTGTTAGCATCTCCCAGCTGAACTTGGATCCAGAGCCCCCTGCATTCCCACCGAGGGGCAGGCTGTGGAAACCTGGGCTTCTGCTTCCCACTGGAGGGTACTCGTGGTTGACTCTTTTTGCAACAGACAGGGACGAGCAGGGCAGATATGCGGAGGGCACTCACCTCTGCACACTCTGATTTTGAAACACCCTCTAGCAAAGTCTTTGGAATTGTTCAGCATCGGAACCACGACTGGGGCCAGCCCAGGGGACTTTGGACTTAGTAATTTCCATGATAGTGAGCTGCGTGGGTAATACAGAGGACTCCGCTGCGTCGTACCCTGCACCTTCAGTTCAGCTCTTTCCACCACTGTTGCTCTGCATGGCCTTACAAAGAAGCTTTTCTGCTGTTGGTTTGTGTAGTTAGAAACCTTGCTTACATTCATTCACTCATTCATTCATTCATTCATTCAGTGGATTGTTTAGACCATTCGCCTAGCCCAGGGTACTTCTCCCAGGTGCCTGCAACGTGATTCTCCCCCACCCCCACGTACACACCCTTTAGGATGGAGGAGGGGCCCAGAGAATGAGACCTGTCCTCCCCAGATGTCCCCTCAAAGCGTCCCCTCATCTGAACACCCTACTGTTTCTCCATGCTTGTTTTAGAAAAGGAAACAAGGCAAATCAGCAGGTATTTAACAGGTACTTGTCCTTTGCCTAGCTCCGAGGTCCTTGTAACCTGCTTGCATATCCCAGGCTGTGGGAACTGGCTGGGCTCTCATGGACAGGGTGTGAGTTGGACCCTGCAGCTGGGGCAGCAGCTTGGCCCAAAAGGAAAGAGCTGAGCACCCCAAGCCTTCCCAGTGAGAGGAGGTGTTCCCGGGAAAGAGGAGTGCGGCGGTGTTGACGTCACAGCAGAGACTTGAGTCTATAAAAAGGCAAATGTTATGAGCAGGCACACCCTGCAGATGGGGCCATCTGCCCAGTCGCATTAGCAAGCAGCCCGCCCAGAATGCCTTCGACAAAGCTGGGCGTGGCGTGGCTGGGATTCTGTGACCGGCTGCTGGCTGTCTGTTGCTGGCTGGGCTCCCCAGAGAAAGGCTCAGGACTCCCTGCAGACAACTTGAACTAGGCACTGCAGTGTCGCCAGAGCTGTGTGCATCGTAGCACAGCTTAGGATGAGAAAGATTGAAAATACCCGTAGACCTGTTAGGGGCACCGGTTACATACGTTGCAGCCATACATGAACATGGTAGCTCATTTATTTCAAAGTCTTTTTTTGAACTTTGGAAAGAACTCCATGTTACAGGGGAAAAGTCAGGGTGCCGAACAGCACACACCGCATGTCTGTTAGTGTGGGGCTGTCCGGCATCTGCTGCTCCTTGGCCTGTATTTGGGTAGGACCAAGGATGCGTCCAAAGCCGACTGTGCTGACTGACACCAGAGAGAACCAGGAGGCACGGGAAGGGAAGAGTGTTGTCTGAGTAACCTTTCGTACCTTGTGCATTTTGAATAAGTAAAATATTTTTTAGGGGCCGGGGAGATAGCTCAGTGGAATAAGCGCTTGCCTGGCAAGTGCAAAGGCCTGAGTTCAATCCCCAGTTCTGCAAAAAAAAAAAAAAAAAAAAAAAAAAATTAATCTTCAGCTAGGGACACAGCTCAGTAGGACAGCTCTCATCTGCTGGGAAGGCCCTGGCTTAGAGCCCTGGCTCTGAAAACAGTATAGATTCCACCAGCCTGGAGTGCTCGGAGGACAGCCAGAGAGTGGCATGCAGACGGACTTTGGTTGCACACCTGCAGTGCTCGGGGTCTCTGGCTAGGTGCTGCTCCGGATGGGGGCTGTAACTGTCCCTGTTTTTATGCCAGGCTTTGGGGGTGCTGAAGCACCCCTTGTTGACAGCTTCTGAAATGGACAGAGCCAAAGAGGGGCCTGCATTGGGGCAGTACCTCACGCTACTGCCACTGCTTGCATCTGGGTCCCTGGCGCCAGGAGGTAGAGACACCCCGATTTGCTCTTGAGGTCGGGCGGGTTGTGTTTGCCATGCTTTTGCTGAGCTCGGGTGGCATTCACCATCTACCGACAGGAAGTCAGATGACGCTGAGCCAGTGGTCACTTATGTGGCTAGAGGAAAATACCTCTGAGCTCCTGGGCCTGCCCCCGCTCTTCTGCTGGGTGTCAGATGTGCCTCTTTGTCTGCCAGCTGGAAGCTGGCTGGAGAGTTGTTTTTCTGATTGTCAGACTCGGCTCCTTACTTGCACTTAGAGGAAAAAGCGTCCAAGCCCTGGTACAAAAGGTCTTCTTTTCATTTCTTTGGAAAAAGCAGTGAATGAGCTCATTATCACTGCAGCCCAAGCAGGCGGGAGGAGGTGGGGGCCTGGTCCTGCCTTGGCCAGGTTTTGTGGGGTGGGGGGCTTGGACCTGGCCCAGGGTGACCAAAGCCAGATGGCTGGGCCAGAAGGTCTGTATAGGGGACAGGGCTGGGGACATTTGGATCCCTCAGGACTATCCACGTCTGCTGGTCCAGGGGAAGGCTACGGGTCTGTGCCTTCCCCGCAGTGCAGCGCTCTGTCCAGGGCTGCCAAGGGCGTCCACCAGGGTCCAGTGGCCATCTCTCGTGGCTTTCACAGTGCCCTGGGCAGGCACCCTGCCGGTCCACACAACAGCCAGTGGCTACGTTTATCTGTCTGATGCTCACGGTTTGCCAGGCACAACTCTAGGCAGTCAGGGTGTAGTGTGGGATGGAGCTGGCAGCCTCTGCGCTCGGGGTGGTTCGGCTCCCGCTCGAGGAGTGGAGCATGCCTGTGAGGTACCCTCTTCTCATTTGGACCAGGGCTGGATGACACACAAACCTCAGAAAGGAGGGCTTGTTGGCACTTCAACTACTGGGCTGGCTTGTCTGTCGCATTAGAGAGCTGGCTCCCTCATTCACCCGGGCTAGACAGGTTGTATGAGGCCAGCAGGGCAGCCTGCATGGCAGAGGGTTGGACTGACACACGCCTGACGCTTCTCTTCTTTCTCCTTTTCAGATTGAGAAAATCATGAGCTCAATCGGAGAAGGAATCGACTTTTCTCAGGAACAGCAGAGGATCTCAGGTATGGCAGCCCGCAGCCATCTCCCCGCCCCAGCCGCTGGCCCATCTGGCTCAGTTTCCCCCGGATGCAGCCAGATGTGCAGCCACAGGCGTGCATACACTTCTCCAGCCAGCACCATGGCTCCCTCTGCACATTGGAGGGGAAAGTGTGCAAATTAAATTGGAGACTGCCAATGGAGAAAAAAATCTTAATGAACAATTGTCTCTTGATTGGCTTAAGCTGGGGTACACCTCCGTGCTGGGCTCCCCTGCTCCTGGGGAGGCCCGGTCAGGTGCACAGTGGCCGCTGCCTGTTTGGCAGCGCTGACGTCGCCTGGCATCGCACTCTCTCCTCCCTTGTGCCTCTCGCCTGCTGTGTCCGTCCACACCGCGCAGCTCGGGGCCTTCCCCGCCGAGCCCTTCTGTGAGCTCCATCTCCGCTGCTTTGTGTGAAACAGCCACCCTAGCCATCGAGCCAGCTGCCACGATGCTAGCACGGCGCCATTGCTTTCCTGGGGAGGGGACACGCAAGAGCACCTCTCAGGGTGCTTTGTGTCCCTGGAGCATCCGCCCGGAGTCCTGGCACCAGGCTGCACGCCCACTCTGGTGAGCATGCTCCCCAGGACAGACTGGCAGCCTAGAGCAGCACCCCAAGTCCTTTGAGTGCCCCTGTGGGCTTGCAGGGACTCTAAAGGGGCGTAGTGTGCACATGTGAGAGAAAGGAACTCCAGAGGCTGGAGCTTCCTGGCTGTGGACACATATGCACACCTCTGGCAAGTCACCTGATCCAGTGAGGCTCAGCTGGTAGCACTTGCTGAATGGCGCTGGCCTCAGGGTCATTGTGAGTGAGGAAGGCAGAGGAGGCGCTCACTAGGTACCAGCTGTGCCGTGCATGTCCAGGCGTGTCCAGCTCACTTCAAAAAAACTGGAGAGATCACTTCTCAGCCTTTTGGCTCAGATGAAGTGAAGAAAACTAGGGAACAGGGTATCTGCTCCCCGCCTGGCTCCACCCCCAACCTTCCAGTCCTGGCTTCTACAGCAGCCGCTTTCCGGTGCCACACTCCTCTGGTTGCTAGCAGGAGGGCCTGAGCTGTGTCAGGTCACCGTTGTCAGGCTCGGGTGAGTCAGAGGTGGCCACCTGCTCTGGGGCAATGGCTGGCATGTGTCGTGCAGTCGCACGCTGTGCTCCTCTGCAGGCTTGGCCAAGCAACGCGCACTGGGGCAGATGCTGGGACTGCGCAGTGCCACTTTGAGAGCTGTTTGTTGGGCACAGGGATCAGACCACAAGTTGCCAGCTCAGCACAGGCCACCTGCGTGGCTGTTCTCTCAGCGTCCCGGGAGCAGGACAGAAATTCCATGTGTGCTCGAGAGCACAGACCCTGTTCTTGGCTATGGGAGCCCAAGACGTGCTTCTAGGGAGAGCTGCTCGGAGGCAAGTTAGCATTGAGTTCTTCCTTGCTGTCCGGGCCTGTCTGCCCGTTCTTGCCCTCGTGAGCCTGTAAGAGTGGCAGAAGGTCTGTGTGGGGGTGTCTGGACCCTAACCCGCAGTGCTGTGAGTGTGCCTTTGCCAAGCTGCCCTCTGCCCGGCTCAGTGGCCCCCTCGGCTGCAGGCCTCCCCCGGGCTTGTCCAGCACGTGGCCCAGCCCCACCCTGCAGCACCTGCAGGGCTGAGCTGGGGAGCACCGGGCTGGGCTGCTGCTTGGAGCAGAGCATAAGGACTGTGTCTTTCAAGTGGTCAGTGTCCTTCTGGTTCAACTGTCCTTAGTCTCAGGACAGCTAGGGTCCTGGTCACTCAGAGGAGGCGCAGACCTTCCAGCAGGTGGGGACCATGCTGCTGGCCTGGTATGCCTGCAAAAGGCAGGACCACCACATTCGGGTCCCAGTCCTGTGTGGAGGTTCTGGGACTCCAGTCCTGGAGCAGGTTACCCAAAATTCAGGAGTCTGCAGCCAACCCATCTGTCCTCGTTTACAGAGGAGGGTACGGTTCCCATTCACCCAGCCTCCTGGCTTCTTGTCAACAAAGGCCTGCTCTGTCAGGCAAAGGAGAGCTGCTCCGCTGGAGCCAGCTTACCTTCACCATCGCGTGTCCCAGGCTTCTGAGTGCAGATCTGTGGGGACCTGGTCTCCCCAAACACAGTACCCCTTCAGGGATCCTCTGATACCTAGGGACCGATGTGTGCTTCCTGGACCCACGTGACCTTTCTGTAGTACTTGGGGCAGGCCCTGGTCACCTTGGCTTTGGCTGTCCCCAGCCCCTCCAGGTTGGCGCTGGCCTGCCCTGGGTGTGGCGCTGCCCCTAGTCTGTCCACCTGCTGTTTGATAGACTCACCCATGGAGCAGCAGGTACAGTGGCTTTATGGCCTCACCTGGTTTTTTGATGCGAAGTGCAGTCCTAGAAGTGGCATGGTAGGGTACTTACCTATGGGCTGTGTCCTTGGGTCAGTGTCATCTCTCCCCTCCCCAGTCTATCCTAGAAACTGTCAGCAAAAGCTATAGGAATGGCCCCTCTATCATTCCTAATCTGGGATTTCCAGTCCCTTTAGCCTGGGGCAAAATGTCCCTGTCTCCTTTATGTGTGCATCAAACAGGGAAATTTGTCCTCACCCCAAGGCTGCTGTGCCATCTCCTCCCTCAGCGGGGCAGTGGCAGCGTGGCTGTGATGGCTCCGTGTCCGATCCCTGATGTATTTCCCTGAGCGCGGGAGGGGAGGGCGGCGGGGGAGGGGAGGACCGACATCAGGGAGTGAGCAAGGACTGAGCAGCCGGCAGCGGCAGCAGCGGCGTGGAGCCCCAGAGCCTCAGACAAAGCATTCTGCTGTGGCGCCCAGGCGCAGACAGGACCACAGCACAGCCCGGGATCGCAAGCAGGGATGAATCGGCGGCCAGAGCCCCAGGACCTGGGGGGCATTTGAGAGCCCCCAGGCTCAGCGTTTTGGAGTGCTTCCTTGGAGTACCGCGGCAGCCTGTCTGGAGGCCACCCGGCTCCCTGGCCACCAGCTGTTCTGCAGAGCCAGAGGACAGGGCGGAGGCTGCCACAGTTGGTTACCGGGGTCTCAGAGAACGAGCAAGTTGCCATTGTCCTGCCCTGAAGGACAGAGTGCTGGATGAACAGGATGACTTTCACCATGTCAGGAGTTTGCCGGAGGTGATGTTTTTGTAGTTAGTTCTTTTTCCTTCTTTGCACCTCTTTTTTCTTCCTCTTTTCCTCCTTTTACCCCTTCTTGCCAGCGAGAACCCAGGAAGTAGGCGGTGGCCAAGGTATTCATTGTGACCCTCAGGGGCCCCCTGTGAGGCTGAACAACACTGCGCTGCCCCAGCCCATCCTGGCAAGGAGAGGCGTGGAGCAGACTCCTGGCTGCCTGCGTGGTGCAGAGGAGCTTGTAGCGATCCGGAGACCTGGGAGGACAGTTGTGTCTTTATCGCTCCGCTGGAGAGGAGAGAAAGCAGCGCAGAGCGTGAATAGACCTGAGCTGGTGCTGCGCAGCGACAGAGGACGCTTCCCACCTCTCCTATCTGGTGGGGTCTTTGGCAGAGAAGTGAATCTGTCTGCTTGAGCCAGGAAGGCCCAGAACAGCTCATCCCAGAAGGGGAAATGAATGCCTGGCCCCCGAAAGCCAGAGTGGCCCAGAGAGGCAGCTGTCCAGCGGGAGCCCTAGTCCCAGAGACTCCCCGCTTGTCCGCTCCCCGTGTCTAGCCCTGGCCCAGCTGCTGCCGCCTGAGGACGTGGTGCTGCCACCCGAGCAGAGTCACAGCCGAGCCTGAGCCCCACGCCCCGGCCCATGCGCCCACTGGGCCCCTTGTTGTCACGAGATTTTGAGCAGGAAGGACGGTGCCATGGTTTGCTTATTCCGGGACTGCTGGGGAAAAACAAGTAAAAGTCTCCTTTCTGCCCCTGCTGCGTCCCGTACTGCTTGCATTGCATGTGCTGGGTCCCCGTGAGCCGCCGCCACCGCCGCTTCCTTCCTGGAGCCCTCCTGTGCCTGTCCCTCAGCTGCATGAAGATGTGTGCTCTCTCCTGAGCCATTCGTGCTGCAAGGTCGCAAGAGTCGCCCCGGGTCACCGCCCCGCAGGGCCCAGAAGTTGCATGGATGAGAGAAGCAGCTGGGCTCGTGGGCACCTGGGGGTTCCCCAGCCCCTCTAGCGCCCGTAGGGACTGACTGCAGCGCCGGCCTGGCCTCGGTGTGACCCGCTGAGGAGGAATTGACCCGGCAAGCACCGGGGCCGTGGGCAAGGCCGTGCATGTGCTAGCGGCGACCACCCGTGGGTGGCCGTGTGCAGCGCCAGGCCCCGACCTTGGCCTGTGCACGGAGGAGGAGCTGCGTGCGCGCTGCTCTCTGGTCTCTTGTACATAGTCTGGCTGCTTTATGGTAATGACCATGATGTGGCAGTGCCATCTGTCTTCCTCTGAGTGCCGCTGCTACCGCCTTAATGGTTTTTCTCTTTTCAAGCGACTGCCGATTCCTCTCTCGTCAGGTTCGCGGACGCTGGAGCAGAGCGTCGGGGAGTGGCTGGAGGCCCTCGGGCTGCAGCAGCATGAGAGCAAGCTGCTTCTGAATGGCTTTGACGATGTCCGCTTCCTGGTAAGTGCCAGGCCCATCGTGCCATGCTGGAGCCGACTCAGTGCGTAGACCTGTCGCCTGGGAAGTTGGCGGGACCTGGGAAGCCAGCCAAGGGTCACGCGCCTTCTCAGGAGGGCTCCACACAGACTCTGGCCCCCTGCTGTGCAGTGAGGCTTCCAGGCCAGCCTGTTCCGAGCCAGCTTTCCTCCAGTGACTCCACATCCATCACTGGGAAGCCTGGAGTTTCCTGTATTTGCCTGACTTCACTAGCAAGTGAGTGGTCCTTGAGGCAGAGCTCCTTCCCTGCCTAGCCACAGCCAGGTGCCCAGGGTGGTGGCCAGGGTGGCATGACAGTCTGTGTGCTCACGGGGCAGGACTCATGGGGTCGGAGAGAAGAGCAAAGGAAGCCCCAGGTAATGTGTTCCTGGTTCTTTATGGAGCAGGAGCCCAGTGAAGGCCGCAGCTTGGGGTCCCGCGCTACCTGGAAGCGGCCCCAGGAAGGGCGTCCGTCCCCAGCCCTCCTGGCCCCACCCTGCCCTGCCTGGGTGCCCTTGTGGGTAGGGTTGTGGCAGGGCAGTGGGGCAGCAGGCCACCCCAGTGTCCCCAGAGCAGGCCATTGCCTGTAGAGCGATACCCCTGACAGCATTGTGTGCGTTGGTGCTGTTCTTAGTGCTGTGCGTGGAGGGGCATGGAACTCCTGGAGGGCTCTTCCAGTAGCCCCGGGCTTGTGCAGACATTTTCTATCCCAGGAGAGAAATGAGGCACAGTGGCAGCAGTAGCATGGCTTTGCCCTGCCCCGGGGTCACACTCCAGGCGCCAGGCTACACGGCCCCTTCACTGTGGCACCGGGCAGAGCACTCGCTGCTGTGGTCACCTTCTTGCACAAGTGTCCTGGGAAGCTGGATCTGAGCTGCCTTTGGCCAGCCCATGCCCAGCTCCACCTGCTCCAGGGAGGCCTGCCTTGCCCTGTCCCTTGCTGTCCCTGTGCCTGGAGCACACGCCCTTCTGCACCAGTGCCTCCGCCTGCCCCTGCGTTCCAGTGAGTCCCTGGCTTCTGTGGTCAGCTGGGCTTGCACCCACCTTGCTGGGACCCCCAGAGCTCCCTTTCCCTCCTCCTCCGGGACAGACACATCAAACCACTCTTCCAAAGCCAGAGGGGGCAGTTGTTTTTTAGCTTAAAAAAAAATGTAAGTTTTAAAATAGTTACATAATTTTTCAAGTTAAATTGAGGATATTTATTGTTCTTGTACTAACCACCTGATTCACCATGTTCTTTGAGGGGGAGTGGCAGGCCGCAGCAGGGTGTGCCAACTCGAGGACGGGAAGAGAGAGCACACTGCCACCAGCCCTGCTTCTTGCGCGCGCGCCGGGTCCCTCCCGGCAGCTGTGGTCTGTGCCCAAGTGTGGCTCTCCAGAGCTGCAGAGGTCTCCCTGTGCTGAGGTGTCCTCCCAGATGCCGAGCAGCTCCAGCTGTGCTGGGAACATCTGGTCAGTGTTGCTGTGGCCTTTCTCTGTGACAGCAAAGTGACAACAGGCTTGTGTTATGCAGCTCCCTCTCGTGGCGAAGCACTTGAGCGTCGTGCGGTGTAGTAGCCCTCTCTTATGCTGGGTCCCTCTTGGATAACCTCGGCCATGCTGTTTGCTGTGGCAGGATTTGCTCCATTACCTGAGCCCCTTCACTAGCTCATCCATTCAGTGCAGTGGTTGACTTTTGGCTGGTTGTTTTTGAGATAGGATCTCACTGCATCGCCCAGGCTGGCCTCCAACACTTGGACTCGAGCAATCCTCCCGCCTCAGCCTCTGCTGCAGCTAGCTGGGGCTGTGGGGTGGCCTGGTGCCAGGCTGTGCTGGCTAATCGATTTAGAGCACGTGTTACATTGAGTCTGTTTCCTGATGGCTTCTGAGCCTTTGTCTTAGGTGTGCCTTCGGGGCCACACAGTTGAGGTGCTATGAAAGCTTGAAGGTCTCCGTCCTGGGCTCCTGGAGCCACGGCACCAGCAGGACATGGGTGCGGGGAAACATTCACCCTGGATGTCGGTGAACCAAAAAGTTCCTGCAGCGTGACCTCAACTTTGTTGCAGAGAGCAGCCTTGCCGCGAGTGTGGGGAGCGAGCAGGCCACTGTGGCCTCTCCCCGGTGGCTTCTCTTTGCTTTTTGGAGTGCAGTACATTTTCTTCGCCCTGAATGGGTGTGAAACCAGAGGAGTGAATGGCCACGCTGTCTTGAGGGACTGTTAGGGTCCAGCTGGGAGAACGGAACTCGTGAGGCAGTAACAACGATGCAGCAGCCGAGTGTCAGCCACAGCAGGGCAGCGGGGACACTCAGAGCCAGGAAGGCGCTCAAGGCAGGCAAGGCAGAGGCTCAGGAGGGAGCACGCACCTTCACGCAGCTGGGGGAAGCGCACAGCGGGGGCTCCGGGCCCCTGAGCCTGATGCCCGCAGGTGGGATGTGTGCCTGGCAGTGGCTGCGAGGCCGCTAGGGACAGAAAGGAAAAGCGCCCTGCGCAGGTGGAGGGGAGGGTGTTCCTGCCGCCTCGGCTGCCCAGGGCTCGGCCCCCCACCCTCCGTCGCCCGTGTCTGGTACAGGCTGAGCCCCGACCAGGTCAGGGTTTACCAGCAGCCATGCAACTTCCCAGTCAGGTCCCCAAGCCCCACGGTCCCTGTCCTGTTCCTGTCCTTCCAGTCAGCTCCTTGGCCTCTGCCATGTCCTGTGAGCGTGGGCTGATGTCCCGGGCTCCCCCCCAGTTCTAGGCCAGTCCGAGCAGAAGTGCTGTCTGGCGCAGTCCTCCCCTCTGGCCACAGCCACCAGCTCTGCAGACAGCTGCAGGAGCCGCCGCCATGCTGGGCTTTTCTGCAGCCAGGTTGCAGGGCTGAGGAGTGGGGCGGGGGCTGAGCTGCTGCTGTCCTAGGCCCTCCGGTCTCATAGGCCATCACCAGATGGTGGCTGTGTTGTTTCAGGCCAGGGCCAGCCTCCCATAGACCCCAGCCCGGTGAGTGCTGCCCCCTGGGAGCCTCCCTTTCTGCAGCCTGCTCCCGCGGAGCTGCGGCCTCACTGGTGCTCTGGAGGCCAGGAGAGTTAGCTACAGGAGTGCTTATGTCACTGCCGCCAACCTGACCTGCCACACACTTGAAGGTGGGCTTGGGTGGCAGTTCCCTCGTGCTCCATGGCTTCTGATCATTGACCCCTGGGCACAAGGCAGTTCCAGAATGTCACTGGTCACTTGGGCAGCCCTCCTCACTGTACACACACAGAAGGTGGTTTAGGCACAGGGCAGTGGCACCCATCAAAGCAACAGACCTGACACATTACATCAGAGTCACCTTTAATCTGGAGCTTGTAATCACAGGTACCAGGTGCCCAGCTCCGCAGCCCTGCGCCAAGGAGTGACAGGGAACAGCACACGCGCGTTCATTCCTGTTTCTTGCTTATTGCTTAGTACCGTCAACGCTCTGCGCGTTGGGTTCCACAGGTGTGGAACAGAAAGACTTGGAAGTACAGATTGACAATGCAGCAGTAAGCATGACACTGATAAAGATGTCCCCATGGACGCTCTGAGGTGTGACAGTACAACTTGCAGCACGGGTGGTAGGCACAGATTATGTGCAGCTCTGTGCTGTTTCATGTGGAGCAGCGATAGCGAGCCTTTCCGAGCTTTCATAACAGCTCACTGCGAATGTACCGTGCTGTACATTCGCCACCAGTGATACAGAGCTTTGTCCTGCGCCAGGAGGGGGACTTGGACCCAGACCCCTGTGAGTACTTTCCTGTCCAGTGTTGAGTCAGCGGGTACAGAACCTACAGGTGCACAGGGTCAGTCATGTCCAGGTGACCACGCTGAGGTCCCTGCCTGCCCTGAAGGGTCCCCTAGGGTGCTCTGGACAGCCCTGCCTGTCCAGCCTGTGTGTGCCAGCCCAGGACATGCTCTTCCCCAGTGGGCCTCTCGACGGTGCTGACACACAGATGGGGAGGGGCGTCCAGTGCCACGGAGGGAGAATGGCTCTGCAGGGGACCTTAGTGGCTTGGCGGCCACGCACTCCTCTCCCGATGCTGGGCGGGAGGCAGCGACTCACGGCAGCCTGTGTGACTCTCCCCCCATCAATTCTCTGGAAGATCAGAGTGGCTTCCGAGCCCAGAGGAGGGGCCTGCCGGGCTGGATGAGACAAGGGACACAGGCCCTACCGGGCTGCCCAAGTGCAGAGCAAGGCTGCCATGAGCCAGGGCTGGCCGCGGCAAGGTTGGCGCTGCAGCAGTAGCTGCCAGGCGCCTGAACACTGCACTGGGAGGCACCACGTGGGGCGGACGCACCCCTGTGGGCCTGGGCTGCCCCTTGGCTCTCCCAAGTCCTGTCAAGAAGCCGTATCCTGGGCTGTGTGGCCCGCTGGCGCTCACTCCTGGCTCTGAGTATGCTAGAAGAGTAAGAGGCGCCTGCAGTTCCAGCTACCTGGAGGCCAGGGCAGGATCACAGGGCCAGCCCAGCCTGAGCAACTTGACAGGACTCTGTCTCCAAATAAAAGCGAGGGCTGAGGGTGCTGCGCAGTGGCAGAATGCCCCTGACTTTAATCCTGGTACCTTAGAAAGAAATCTATATTGGAATTTCTGGTCTTTCCTGACACCAAGTCTTAAACGGTAGGAATTTTCTGTCCAGTACTAAGACATGACTGGGACTGGGTCCCTGGGTTACCTCCAGATGGGGCTGGGGGACAGGACAGCCACCCAGGAGGCCTGAACCTTCCAGTCCTCCCACCTGCTCCTGGCAGGGACGGGGCCCTGGGCTTTGCTCACCGGTGGCCGGTGTTCTTTGGTGTCTACAGAACACAGCCTCTGTAAAATCCCTGGACAGAGTTGGGAAAACTGCTGCTCCGAGGCACAGCAGCCGCACCTGTGTTTCTCTTCCACCTCCGTGGGAGGTGCGTCCTTTACGAGAGAGAGCAGGTCCGAGTGCAGACTGGAGATCGCAGGGTCCCGGGCACAGGTGAGCCCCTGGGCTGGGGTGGCCGCTGAAGCAGGACAGCTTGTCGCACGCACGGGAGCCTCACCTGTGGGATCTACGCCACCTACCGACAGGCAGCATCAGAAGCGAGTCGAGCCCTGGGACACAGCTGGTACCTTAAGGACCAAGTGATGGAGCGAGAAGGGCTGCCCAGTGGCCTAGGCGCAGTGTCTTGGGTGTGGCTGGCACATGAAGCTGCACAGGGAAAGACCTTCTGGTCCCCACACCTGGCCTGGCCTGGCCTTGCCCTGCACAGGGTGGTGACAGCCCAAGCTGGACAGCCAGCCACGGGGACTGCACGGCTTGGCCTTCCCTCTTTCTCCTCCTGTGGCAGCGGTGCCCGCTTTGACCAGGGAGACAAGAGTCGTGATGATACGGTCAGAAATCTCCGCCCTGCTCTTTGCGCATTCTGTCACATGCCCGGAACCGCTGCGCACACTGCTGCCTGGGAGGGGGCATTCTGGCCTGGCCCTAGACAGACCACAACCCTAGAAGCAGCTGCAAACAGTCCCCTTCCCCTTCGGCTGAGTGGGAGACTGGGGAGGGGGAGTCTGCCTTATGTCCCCACTCCTAAATGTTCCCTCCCAGGGCTTTCTCCTGTGTACTGGGTGGGGACCTTATTTGTAGTCAGGCGGAGATGACATGTGAGCTACGCTTTGAGATGGCGGCGGAAGGCAGCTTCCTCCTGCAGCTGCATGGGGAGAAGGCTCTAGAGGGCCAGAGCTGTGGCCAGAACGCAGTGACAGGTCCTACAGGTCCTAGCAGGACAGAGGAAGCACACACGAATTGGCCCGATGGATGTTAAACTAACAACAGCCCAGGCAGGACTCAGGGCCTGCGTGTCCCCCATCCCCCCACGCCCTGGCAGCCGGAGCTTCCCATCAGGCTGGCCCTGTGAGGCTCCAGCAGGTGCTATTTTGACTCCCAGCCCAACTCCTGCCCTGTTTGCCCTCACCAGGAGCTCTTGGCATCCCCGCCCGCACCTCCAAGATGGGCCGTTCACCTGCAGGGACCTGCTTGGCACAGGCGGCTAGAAAGAGTGGCCGTGGCCCAGGAGAAGTATGATTGGGGCAGAGAGGGCTGTGCCCAGCCCAGGGCAGATTCCTTGCACATTTCCTGCTATGCTTTTGTCTTCTACAGTAGACAGGGAGCCGGTAGACAGGGCCGGGAATGACTGGAGTTGGCTCGTGGCAGGGACGGCACCTTTTGTACGAAGCTCTGTGGCCTTGGTGCCCAGCCTGGCTGCTTCCTTGTGATGCGGGCAGCTGCTGTCTCGGGGCTTACAGAGTGAAAAGGCCCAGCACTGCTGGCCTAGGGTGGCCAGGACCCCACAGGGGTGGCATGCATCTTTGCTCGAGCCCAGGGCGCATCCCTGTCACCTTGTCAAGAAGCTCAGTCAGCTCTGGTCACCGACTCCCCTGAAGCTCTGGACAAGGAGCCCCAGGCAAGGAAGCAGGGTTGGGAGCTGGCTGCGGGGACTGTGCTGGCTCCCAATGGCTGCGGCCACTTCATCCATGGAGCAGGATGCAGCAGAGCGTACCTCCTTTGCCCTGCGTGGAGCCCCAGTGATGTCAGAGCTGTGTCTTGCCTCTGGGACACACACCCACTCATCACTGTCGTAGCTAATCCCGCCAGACGGCAACACGGCCGCTCAGGGATCAGGAGGGCCCCTTGCTGCATCAGGATGTGCTCCATCAGCTGCCGGAGTTGTTTCCTGTCGTGGACCTGCTTCACCTTTCGCTCCCCTTCCCCCCTCCACTCTGCAGGGGGCCTTGGTCTGTCACAGGGTAGGGTGACAAAGGCATCTCATACCGTCGAGCACCTGTCAGCATTTGTTTGGCCCTAAAAACTGGAGATGTGACCACTGCTGCCCTCGCACACTCGTGTCCTCCCCGGGAGCGTCCTGGCATGCTCAGCTCAGACCCTGGCACAGGTGTTCCTGTCACTTAGGTGTCCTTGCCATCAGGTCTAGGCAGCCATCTGCTGCTCTACCTGTCCCCATAAGCAGATCCTAGAGTGGGTACCCAGGTGACAGAGCTGGTGACACCTGGGTGAGTGGCAGCTCCGGGAGTTGGCTGCAGACCTAGAGGATGCCCTGGCATCTGCATGTCCTGCAAGGGACACGTCCCACAGGTGTGTGCACCTCGCTCTCCTGGGCTGGTGGCTTCCTGTGTGACACAGTGCTTGACGCTCTGCACAGACCCCAGGAGCCTCCGCAGGAGTTGTCACTATAACTTGGCTACAATAATAGTCCCACGCTGGCCCAGCTACTTCACTGTCTACCTGGGAAGGACAGGTTATGTCCCCCTCAGGAGACCTCCAAAGTCCAGAAGTGAGACTTTCTGGCACTTCAAAGGCAGTTCTAGATTGGAGAGGAAAGGGGAAAGTCAACAAGTGGGTGACAGGTTCCCTGAGAAAAAATAAGGTTGGATCCTGACTTAGACTTTCCATCAAAATAAATTCGATGGGTTAAAAACTTGTTTTTTTTTAAAAAGCCACAGGAAGAAATTATGAAAATTTTAGTAATTTTTATTTTTTGGTGAAACCGGGGATTGAACTCAGGCCCTTACACATGCCAGGCAAGTGCTTATTCTACTGAGCTATCTCCCCAGCCCCTATGAAAATTTTAAAAATTTTGAAAAGGGGAACTCTTTCAGAACTCGTTTAAACCCAGAAGATGTACAAGAAAAAATGCATTCAGGTATAAAAAACAAACTTCTCCCCCAGTAGAACTAGCATGAACGTCAAAAACTAAGTGGCCAAGGAGAGCAGGCGTCTCACTCACTGCATAGACGTTTCGCCTCCAGAGCGCCCGCAGACCTGCCCACGGTAGGCACCACCACCACAGGATGTGCTGCGAGACTGGGAGCGCGGGACCTGGGGAAAGGTGCTTGGGACAGCCCCACGCCTGTGGCAGCCGAGCCACAGGACCAGCAGAGGCCCATGCGCTCTGCGTCCTTGGGGAGCTTGAGCATCCTCAGCCGCACAGGAGAAGCAGCACCACTGCTCAGGAGCCACGCAGGCGCTTGATAAGCAGGCACAGAGGTGCCGGCCCCGCCTCCAGACCGCAGCTGACACTCAGTACAGGCCACTTCTCCCCAGCACAGCAGACTGCACGGGGATGCAGCACTGACACCCAGGAGGACAGAACTATCCTCCAGAACTTCAAACAAGGCACCTGTGCAGCAGCCTCCCTCCTGCCCACACGCGGTGTTCCCGGGTGCCGTTTGCAGAGGCCCACATGGCGCGCAGATGCCCTGGCCCAGGGAGCCGGTTTGTAAAGCCTTTTCTAGCCTATCGAACCCGCAGCGTGGGGGGCAGGCAGGCCTGCGGGTACTGTGCACAGCCTCAACGTGACGCCTTGAGAAGAGGACTGCAAGAGCTCTACGTGTGGAAGATGAGTCGAGTGGCCCACGAGCGTGTTCCTGCCCGGCCATGCTGCCTGCAGAGGGTTGGGGGCAGAGCGGGGCAGAGCCTACAAATCTGGGCTGAAAACACCCCGGGTAATGCCGTGACTGGGAGCACCACCACCTACACGTATGGGCTTGTGCCTCAGGTTCCTCATCTGCGAAACAAGACTTAAGAGACCTAAACACACAGGGTCATGTGAAGCGTATAACCCATGTATGACATGTCCCTGAGGACAGACTGCACCAGCCATCGGCCACCATCACTGCCACTGTGCTTAGTGCCAAGCACTACCTACTTTGCTGCTACTGCCCCTTCCCACCAGGGCAGGGCACCTTGTCCTTGGGAGCAGGCTCTTGGGTGCCTGCCTGTCACCAGCTACTGACCAAGGTGGTCACAGACCCCACCTGGCAGGGACCCTGGTGGAGTCCTCTGTTCCCAGGAGTGTGCCTGCACACGCAGTCCCCCACCTGTCTCTTGTGGCCCTGTGGAAGGAGTGCATGGTGACCGGCCGGGGAGGGCCCTGCCTGCTGTCAGCTCTGCTGGCCGTGACAGCCTCCTCTTTGCTCTCAGGGGCCTAACGTGATGGAAGAGCAGGACCTGCGGGAGATTGGCATCAGCGACCCCCAGCACCGGCGGAAGCTACTCCAGGCTGCCCGCTCCCTACCCAAGGTGACTGCTGCCGTCTCCTTAGCAGCACCCAGGCCTAGCACCCAGCTTCCTCCCAGGATCTAGTGGGCCACCGCTGCATCACTTGCTCAGAGTCTTGGGGGTTCCTGGAGAGTCAGCAGGGATCTAGGGACAGTGACCACGCCTTGGGGTTGAAGAGGGATGCTCCTCGCAGTCAGGAGCCCAGTGCTACAGGCCTGGCTCCCAAGGGTTGGGTCCTGACCCTTCCACCTGCCCAGCCATCAGGGAGTGTCTGCTTCACAGGTCCTTGCAGGCCCGTGACTCTCCCCCGCTGGTACCCACCATGCCCTGGCGGCTCCCCCCTCCCATAGCAGTGATAAGAGGATTTGGCTGGGAGAACTTGAAGCACCGAGAAGCCAGGTCCACAGTCCCTGCCCTGGCTCTCACCCAAGTCCCAGATGTCATTCCTGCCCTGCAGGTGAAGGCCCTGGGCTACGATGGACACAGCCCCCCATCAGTGCCATCCTGGCTGGACTCCCTGGGGCTGCAGGACTACGTCCACTCCTTCCTGTCCAGTGGCTACAGCTCCATCGACACTGTGAAGAACCTCTGGGAGCTGGAGCTGGTCAATGTGAGTGCAACCCAACCTGTCCCCTCCTCAGTGGCCCCATCACCACTTACCTCTGCCCCCACGGACCTCTGCCCCCCACGGACCTCTGCCCCCACGGACCCCTGCCCCCACGGACCCCTGCCCCCCACGGACCCCTGCCCCCCACGGACCCCTGCCCCCACGGACCTCTGCCCCGCTCTGCAGGTCCTGAAGGTCCACCTGCTGGGCCACCGCAAGCGCATCATTGCCTCCCCACAGACCCCTGCCCCCCACGAACTCTGCCCCCCACGGACCTTTACCCTCATGGACCCCTGCCCCCCACGGACCCCTGCCCCCCACGGACCTCTGCCCCCACTGACCTCTGCCCCGCTCTGCAGGTCCTGAAGGTCCACCTGCTGGGCCACCGCAAGCGCATCATTGCCTCCCTAGCAGACAGGCCCTACGAGGAGCCGCCGCAGAAGCCACCACGGTTTTCCCAGCTGCGAGTGAGTGGTGGGGACAGTCCGCTGCATCAGGCCTCAAGAACTGAGAGCCAAGCCGTGCCATAGACTAAGGCCCCTGCCTGCTCTCGGGAGGCCCCATTTACTTTCCCGGGTGCTTGAGATGGCCTACAATAAAGGACCCGATTTAAAGTAAAATTTAAAAACAAACATCCCAGGCCACGGGGCGGGGACTGTCGAGCCCAGAGCCACACCTGGCAGTGGAACCAGGTCGGGCGGGACCTGAAGGAGTAACGGGTCACCAGCCGTCTTGGACCTATTCCTGGTCTTCAGATTTAGAATTTCCCAGGCAGTTTGCTACAGGGGACTTCTTTACAAGATTTGAGACTGTCTTGTTACACTAGCTCTGAATACCTCGAGTGATCTTCCTGCCTCGCACTGCCGAGAGCTGGGAATACAGCTTGTATTTTTTAAAACTCTGCAGATAGTGCAGTGGCCAAGGCAGCTGACGATGGCTGCAGATGTATCTAGACTGAGCTCGTGTATCTAGACAGGTCAGGATGCACTTGCCTAGCTGTAAGGTGGGTCATACCACGGGGACAGGTGACAGTGACCCTGTCCTAGTGCCAGCTTCTGCCTGTGCACCTCGTCCTCAGTCTTGAAGCCTCTTACATGAGGCCCAGCCTTGGACTGAGTAGACACAGCCACCTGGGGCCTCGGGCTGCTGCAGTGACTACTGTCCTCAAAAAGGGCTTTGCACTTGGCCACAGGCCCCAACCCTTGCTGGGTGGGACGAGGCTTTACCTTGAGTTACGGGAGAGTGGCTCTTGTCCAGGGCCTGCTGTGCGCACAGCCCAGGCTGCACGAGGACGCTGTTCGCACTGTGGCCCAGGGCCCAGCCACCCGCTTTCCCTGGCTCCTGCCCCTTGCACCGGTTGTCTAGCCATCTCACCATCAACCTCCGTGTTTCTCACCCACCATCTCCCAGCAGTGCCAAGACCTGCTCTCCCAGACGTCGTCCCCCATGAGCCAGAATGACTCCTACACTGGGCGGTCAGCAGACCTGCTGCTGCCTTCGGGGGACACGAGCAGGAGGCGTCACGACAGCCTTCAGGACCCCGCTGCCCCATCTCGAGCTGAGCGCTTCAGAGTCCAGGTGGGCTGGAGGAGCACAGAAGGTCCTGGGCCAGGCTCCACAGCCATCTGTTGCCCTGTGCCTGCCACCACTAGGTGGGCAGGTGGCCACCTCCCTCCCCCTGTACAGTGCCAGGCTGAGGCCATGTGGGCCCAGGTCCCTGCTCTCCCCAGGGCTCCCAGCCCTCAGAGTCATGTCCTCCCAAGTCCCTGCCCAGCAGGCAACCACACGCAGCCCCTGCTGCCAGCGCTGCCTTTTGGCAGCCAGGCAGATGCTGCCCACTCCACGGCACTTCGCTGCCCGGCCCGGGTCGGCACCACTTGGCATGCTAGCCTTACCATCTTCAGGACCACTTTGGAACTCTCAGCTCCACTCAGGACTTGCCTGGCCTCTGGCTTGGCCTGCACCATGTCCCTCCTCACTGTTGTCTTCCTCTCTGCTAGCCTTGGGTTGCCCCTCTCCACTGGAGACTCAGCAAGGCCACACACTGCCACTGAGCCACACCCCAGCCTTTATACACATCGTAGCTTCTTTTGTTACTCAGGCTGGCCTCGAAGTTGTGATCCTCTATCACCACAAACTTTTAAGACCCAGAGTGCATTGTGCGACAGTTCAGCTGCTGCATGGAGACTGCATAGGGCCAGGCCCTGGCATCCTCAATGTTTGCTGCCCCCACCTGTCCCCTCCCCCAGACCCTGCTGCCACCAGAGAATCTACTGAGGTTGCTTCTGCTGTGTATGGGATGCCATGGGGGGACCTAGCGGCGTGTTCCCTGCACTGAGTGGTGCCCGCAGCTCATGTCCCTACCATTCCTTTGGCTCAGATGCCACAGAGCGTGGCTTGGGTCCCTGCTGCTCTGCTGCTGCTCTAGTGCCTTGGCATGCGCGCGCACACAACCCATTACCTGATGCCTGACCTGAGGTTCCAGTTTCTTGCACCCTGGGGTTCGCTGGAGCTCCACAGCATACTGTCTCCTGTGACATTTGCAGGAAGAGCCCCGTGAGGCCAAGCTGACCCTGCGGCCACCCAGCCTGGCTGCCCCTTATGCCCCCGTGCAGAGCTGGCAGCACCAGCCAGAGAAGCTCATCTTCGAGTCCTGTGGTTACGAGGCCAATGTAAGTCACTCTTCCTCTTGGCCTCCCTGCCCCTGGCCCTGGGAGCCTCTGTGTGCTGAGTTCAGCCGCCCTGGCAGCTACAGGAGGGGCAGGAGGGCGGGGTGTCATCAAAGAGGTAACCACCAGAATGTGCATGTCCTCGGGGCTGGGTTGCCCCACACAGTAGCACTGGCCATAAACCTGGCATCCGACCTTTCCGTCTTGACCTTTCCGCGGCTTGCCCCCGCAGTACCTGGGCTCCATGCTCATCAAAGACCTGCGAGGGACAGAATCCACTCAAGACGCCTGCGCCAAGATGCGGGTAGGCTGTGGGGAAGCTGCCGGCACATGGGCGGGGCACCAGGGAACGCTAGGTTTGATGGCCTGGCCTTGCCACACTGCCGACGGATGGGGGGCCGGCCTGGGGATCACAGCAGAAGGGGCGTCCTCAGAGCACCCTGTCTCCGTAGAAATCCACGGAGCACATGAAGAAGATCCCCACCATCATCCTATCCATCACGTACAAGGGTGTCAAGTTCATCGATGCTTCCAACCAGGTTCGCACCTCGAAGCATATCCTCCTGTCCTCACTTCCTGTCTGCCCTGCCGGGGCCTTTTCCCTGGGACTCACTCTTGCCCTCACTGTCCCGAGGCTGCTGCTCTCGTCCCCAGCACAAGTCCCCGGGCGTTTCCCTCGGGGAGCAGGACATGCTGTGCCTGCTGCCCTGTTGCTTGCGCTCCCGCCGACAGGCCCAGAGGCAGCAGGGACTCCCAGCTGCTGTGCATGGTATTGCCTGAGCCCTCGTGCCCAGGGCAGACCCCGGATCCAGACTAGGCCCTTTGTCTCTATGGACGTGGGGCTGGATCCAAAGGACAAAGGTGGATGGGAAAGTGGGGGTCAGCTGAGGCCCAGCCAGAGAATGGTGGGTGGCTGTGAGGCTGAGCCGGCCCTACAGTGCAGAGCGCGCTTTTCCTGGCAGAATGTCATTGCGGAGCACGAGATCCGGAACATCTCCTGTGCGGCCCAGGACCCAGAGGACCTGTGCACCTTCGCCTACATCACCAAGGACCTGCACACCAGCCACCACTACTGCCATGTCTTCAGCACCGTGGACGTGGTGAGTGTGGCTACAGCCCTGCTGCCCCAGCCTCCGGCTGCCCTTGGCGATTGTTTGGCTTGGGTGAGAAGCCCGGCAGTGTCCATCCTGTACCTTGCACCAGCCACAGCCTGTGGCACAAGGGGTTCCAAAGTGAGGCAAGGTCTCTGGCCCCACATCTTTCTACCCACTGCCCGCACCCCACAGTTCCAGTGGGGAGCTGCCCCATGGGACTGACCCCGGCAGAGGCTTTGTGCTGCTAGGTTGTGCTACTAGGTTCTCACCCTGGAGCAAGCCAGTCTGTTCAGGTCCCTGTTACCCTCAGAAAAGAACTTTGGTGATTCCGGGAAGCCCCTGCCACCGAAGTCTTTGTGCCCGGCCCTCTGCTGTGGGTACCACAGTCAGGAGCCAGGCTCTAGCCTCATACCCAGCTCTGCCCATAACCACACCCAGCCTCCTGGAGCCGCTCTGGGGTGCGGTGGCATGGGCTGTGGCCACTGCCATGTAGCTCACACAAAGCCAGTTCTGCTCCAGCAGGATCTTGCTGTACAAAACCACACAGTGAGGATGCGAGGTCGATGGGCAAATGGGTTTGGGTATACCGCACTACACCTTTGCCCGTGGCATCCAGAGAGAGAAGTTTAAGCTTAATAGAAGCAAAGAAGCACTTGACCACCCCCCAAGAAACGTGGCACTCTGCCGGGAGGAAGCCTGGCCAAGGAGGCTTCTCTTGTCCCTGCACAGGAACAAACATGACATGGTCCCACTGCCCCAGCTTTGCACTGGCTCGTGTTTCTGTCAGGCCAAATCACGTGCAGGAAACACACTCTGTACTCTGCTGGGTGTCCCGATGGCCACTTGTGGGGAACAGATCTGTGCTTTCAAAACACTTTCCCTTGCCCCATGTTCACGGGGCTGGCGATCTGCTTCCCCAGAACCTGACGTACGAGATCATCCTGACGCTGGGCCAGGCATTCGAGGTGGCCTACCAGCTGGCCCTGCAGGCCCAGAAGTCGAGGCCAGTGGGGGCTGCCGTGCCTGAGATGATCGAGACGAAAGCCTCCAAGCCGGTGCCTAAGCCTCGGGTTGCCGTGAGGAAGTCTGCAGTAAGTGGCCGTGGTTCCAGGCTGGGCACACAAGGGTCTTCCACACTTGGGGCGACGGCCCTCCTCGGCAGGAGGGCTGTGCTGGCACAAGGCCAGCAGTGCTGCCCTACGGGTTTCTTCCCAACCCCTACCCAGCACGGGGCCACCTCAGGGCTGCTGAGCGTGGCCATGCAGCGCCCCAGTGACAGTGACATGGTCCCTATGTCTGTGTCTGCTTTGCTCTGCACCCCAGGTGCCGCTGCCCCCTGATAGTCGCTGTTGTTACTGTCACACCTGTACCACCCACCGTCCTTCCTACCTACCGCTGCCGTCTGTTAGTCCCGGAGTCAAGGTCTTTACGCCTCCTGCTGTCTTGTGTGTCAGTCTCCCCGAAATGACCGTGAGCCTTCTCAGATGGGCCTCTTCCTCTACCCGCATGATGTTCTGTTCTTATTCCCTGAGCTGTCCCCTGTGTGCTTTAGCCCTCTGTCTCTGTCCTGTGTCTCTCTCAGTGGCCTGGGATGACTGCTATGGCCTCAGGCTGAGCTCAGGTGACTCAAGTTTTGGGGTTTCCAGGGCCCCCCCTCCCCAGGATTGGGGCTTAGGGCAAAAGGCTCCCCCAGGGCAAGGTGCCCTTCCCTGAGAGGTGGCCGTCCCCAGGGTGCATGGAGGGTGGCACCAGGCTCCCTGCCTGGCTTGGTAGAGCCCCCCTGACTGGTCACCTGCTCTTTTGCTTGGCAGCTGGAGCCACCCGACACAGACCAGGAGGTCCAGTCCCACGCCAGTGTCTCCTGGATCGTGGACCCAAAGCCAGACTCTAAGCGGAGCCTCAGCACCAAGTATGAGACTACTATCTTCTAACAGCCCACCCTGTCTCCTAGTCTCACTGTGCCTTTGCCACTGGGCTTTCTGCTGTCTCAGCTCCTCCGGCTATGCCGCCTCGGCCTTGGCCCCAGCTCCATGGGGACCCGCGCTCCTCCCGGCAGCAGCTGCCACCACCACACTCACAGCTCTTTACGTACACCACCGAACACTGTGAATACTCCCCCGGGCTGAGGACAGCGGGGGGCAAATGGCCTTTAAGGTGGGCACCAAGGGGAGCCTCTGGACAGGCACTGTGAATCCTAAGGGTGGGAGTGCTCTCCCGTCTGTCTTGAGCCACAGCTGGGGCCACGTGCTGACTGTTCCACCTTTCCTCACACAACCAACCACTGTGACACCAGGGAGAGCGCCCTGCACTACTCACAGCTGGCCGCTCCCAGGTGCTGACCTCTCATGGTGAGGCCCCACGAGGCCCTTGGCTCAGTGACGTGGCCTAACCTGGAAGACTGCTTTGAGAGCCATAGGTCTGGGCCAGGCCTGTCGGCACAGGCTGGCTGCTTAGCAGGCTCTCTGGTCCTAGTGGGCCCCCTGTGCCGTGGCACCTTGTGGCTGGACCCTCCAGTCTGCACCATTGCACCCTGAAGCTCTGCAGGTGGCCTGTGGCCTGTGCCAGTACCCCCTGCCCTTACAGAATGCCAGGGGCCTGGGCTGAGCCTTCCAGTCTACTAGAGGGTCTGCCACCTCTAAGCTGTGGGGTGACATAAGCTGTGACCCGGAGAAGCAGAGTGGTTTAGTGACCAAGGAAGGCAAGGCTCCAGTAGGAGGTGGTGCAGATGGAGTACCGTCTCGGGCGAAAGCCAGAAAGGCGGCAGCACAGCCAGGGTGACGAGCCAGGGCAGGTCCTCAGCGCCCGCCTGTCCTGTGCCTTCCAGGCAGGTGGCCGGCCATGGAGGGCACTCCACCTCAGGCAGGCTGCTCTTCTGGGAGGCTGTGAGGGACCCTCTGCCCTGCTTCTGTGCTCCTTTTGGTTTCCTCCACCTTGTCCTGGCCCCCACTGTTAACCCTGTCCTCCCCCCATTGTTTGCTTCTGCCAAGCTGAGCCACGAGGAACCACACTGCTGCGGAAACAGAAGTGGGGAGCGCAGGCTCCTGCCACCATCGCATCTCGGGCCGGCAGCTCTGAAGACCAGGCCCGCCCTGCCTGTGGACCTGCTCGGGGCGCAGCCTGGTCCCTGGCAGATGAGACTGGAACTCCAGAAGGTCAAGACGTGACTTGTCCACGATACATGTTTTTAGTAGAAAAGAAAATTTTTATAAAATGAACTTTTAACACTTGGCTCAAACCTCTAGGTAAACTGCCAATCCTTAGACCATCATGGGGTCAGAGGACAGGAAGCTGAGGCTGCGACAGCATAGCCCACATAGCCGTCTTCAGAGTAGGGCTCGGTGTGGGCAGCCAGTGCGGAGCAGAGCCAAGCAGGTGTCTGAGCCTGCAACCCAACCAAGGTAGCTTCTGTTTAAGTTGCCTAACGTCTGGTCCCTGTCTGGAACTGACTGGGCTCTTCAGTAGGAGCACAGCCCCAGACACCTGACTGAAGCAGACTTCCAGCCTGTTTCTGGGGCTCCAAATGTGAAGGTCCAGTGGCCCCCTGGAGAGAAGTAACAGTTCCTGGTGCCAGGCGGCCAGGACCGCGCTAGGAGCTCCTCCACTGCTCGCCCCATGGCAGGCTGTGTGCCCTGGAGCCAACTGCCACGCTTTTTTGCTCTAGTGAGGTCCTGTTGGTGGCCGAGTCAAAAGGGAGAACAGGCAGCCATGTCTGGGGCATGAACGTAGGTCAGCAGAGATGGCCACTTGCCACGTAGTGACTCGTCTGGTAGGTCTGTATGATTAAGCTCATTCAGGTTCTCTGAATTGCTAGGTTGACCACTGCACTCTGTGCTGCTGGGCTCATCCCTGGCTCAAGGCATGGAAAAGGCTAGATCAGGCAACAGTCTTGTTTGATCCCCCAGTTGTGGCCGTGACAGCAGGCTGTTGTCCTGGCGCTGGCCGCTGTGTAATCTTCCTGCCAGCTTGCTTTGCTTTCAGCCACAGGGGCTTCCTTCTTGCCTCAAGGACAAGAACTGGCCCTATAGGGCAGTGAGGCCAAGCTGGGACAGCCACTTGTCCCCTTGGGCTTTCCCGGCCCTGGTCCTGTGGGTCCCAGGAAGAATTTTCCAGGTGTAGAACTTTCACAGCCCCTGGGGTGGCCCACAGTCTCAGGAGGGCCGAGTCCCCACGAGGCGAGTACTGGGTGCGGCCCCCATGGTGCAGGCAGGCTGTCCTCCAAACTTAGGTACTAACATGGGCCCTGACACCTTGGGGCTGTACTTTGTTGCCCACCTTTCCGGCCTGTAGGGGCTGCAGCAGCTTATCCTTGCAGGATTCCCCGAAATGAGGGGCTGCTCAGCCAGCCGTGTAGGCCCTACATGCGGGCAGAGTCCCAGGAAACCAAGACACTACAATGAGCTCTTCATACTGTATCTGTCTTTAAATCACATGTAGGCATTTTCCCCCTTGAAGCTGCTATATCTTATTTATTCAGGGTGTTTTCTTGTTGGAAAACCTTGGCGAGTCTGTGCTGGCTCTGGGTCTTGTTTTGGGATTGAAGTTGGTTTTATTATGTTCAAGGAGGAACGGTGACTGGACCTCCCTGTCTCTGGCTCACTCGCCCCTTCCCCACCCTGGAAAGGGGCAGTGTGACTGCAAGGACAGGCTCTGGGGAAAGGCCCTGCTCCACACCGTCTGAGTGCAGGTCACTCCGCGTGGCAGCTGCCCATGGGGCTCCCGCTCGCTGCCTTGCCCCACCAGCTCTGCCTTTAGCACTGCCAGCCTCAGGTCTGGATCTGACCTGAGCAGCAGTGCCAGGCAGCGTGGCTGTCGCCAGGACCTGCACAGGTCTGCAGAACACAGGCCACAGAGCACTGTGGCTCCTGCTGTGGCAATGGACTGAACTGTAATAAAAATGTTATTTAATCTTTGTTTCTGTATTTTGATACTTGAATGATTTCCCTTTTGTTTTACTGTACATATAATTGTTAATCTGATTTTGTCTGAATTATAAACATCTTGTGGTACCAAACATAACCAATCTGTGCAACAACATAGACTGACCTCACTACACACAAGAGTGCAAATCGTCCTGGGCTTCCAGCTTTGGTTTTGTTATTTTCTTAACTGTACAACTTAGACTGAATAAATGAGAAGCAATGTAAAGCAGCCTTACTTGTTGGAATCTCTGGATTGGCATTTTTACTCTTTCCGACAGAAGTGTGGGTGCCAGGAAGATGCTGCTGTGGATCAAGAACTGGGTCTGGGCCTGCCCCTTCTGGCTTGGTGCCAGCTGCAGTGTCCTGCTCTCCAGCATTTTCAACAGTGCCACCAGCGAGGGTGGCTGCACTGTGCTGCATGCAGGGGACCCACTCTTCACCGCTCTGTCCTCAGGAAAACAGGTGTGAATGCAGAGCAGGGCTGTCTTGCCACAGATCTGCTGCATCCTGGGCTGGGCTCAGCAGCTGTGGACACGTGTCCAACACAGGAGACATGGAAAGGTGTGGAGAAAACTGTCCCTCCCACAACTGTGATTATAGAAGGCTGCAGTTTAGACTGGGCGGGGGGGGCAGCAGGACCAGTGTCCCCAGACAGTCCAAGAAGGGAAGAAAGCAGTGGTCCTGCGCTGGTGTCTACGGGGGAGAACAAGAAAGGCACAGCTGGTTCCAGCAGACTCTTCCCTCACTGAGCACCCCAGCTCCCTGTTGCTGGAAGCTTCAAGCCTCCATCTCTTCAGCCCCATGCTCTGTGGGGAGGCCTCATCCTCACTCTGCACAGGGTAGCAAATGGGCTTGGGTTCAGATGCTACACTGAGGGTCCTGGGGGGCGTCAAGCAACTGAGGCCCTGCTCCTGGCCAACTTTGCCCAGAGTTGCCCAGCACAGAAAGCTCTTGTAACTTTTTGTGTACTTCATTTGCTAAAAGGTTGAGAAAAGAAAATTACTTATACAACCCAATGCCCTATTTTATTTTTTAAATGTATTTGATATAGGGCCTCACTACGCAACTCACTAGTGATCCTCCTGCCTCAGCCTCCCCAGCACTGGGGTTACAGGCATGCACCACCAGACCTGGGCTCGGTGGTCGGCCCAGCACGCCCAAGGGCAGGGCTGGTGGGGTATGGGGTCCCGGGGATCGAACCCTGCTCCCTGCACTTTCCTAAACAGGCACTTAGTCTGCCCTTGATTTTATCTATCTATCTATCTCACTGGCCCTTGATTTTACTTTTAAAGAAAACAAGGCCCAGAGAAAATTTTGTCTTTGCCTACTGACATGCTGATGGTCGAGGGCACAAGACTTCACTCCAGCCCCCTTCGCCTCTAGGTGGTGAGGTTCTCCACACTGCTGCTGCTGGGACCCAGAACAGGAAGAACTGCCATGCTCGGCCTTCTGCACACCCTCTCTCCACCTGCAGCTTCTCTCTCCCCTCTTTCCTCTCCCTACTCTCCTCTCCCTGCATAGGCCAAGGTGGGCTTTAGCAAGGGCAGCCACTGAGAAAACTGCAAAACTAGAAGCTGCTGAAGACACCCTCCAGTTGGCCACTGCCTCTCCTGACTTCCGAACCTAGACTGTGTCCAGGTAGCAATTGAGTGCCAGGGCCAGGCAGGACCGAGGGTTCTTCCTCCTCACCCAGGTGTCACACAGGCCACAGCTAGGTTCGCAGAGCACCAGTGTCACTGCAAATGCAGATCCTAAACCAGTGCTGGCTCAGTGCAGCCTAGGACTCTAGACACTGCTTTGTTCAGAGTTCAATTATTAGGAATACTACTATTAAAAAAGCCTTTACCAAATGAAAGACCTGCTCTACACTACAGGATACGTATTACCTGGTAAACAGCTGGATGGCAAGGAAGCCAGGGGTGGGGATGCAGGGAGATCTCTGCTCCTACATACCAAAATAAATTCCAGATAGTGTAAACATCTAAACATAGAAATGAAAAAAGTAACCTCAAAGCTAGGGGGAAAAATGGTAGACTCTATAATGGAATAATAAATGCCTTTACAAATAGGTTACAAAGCTCAATCCAGATTTTTTAAAGATTCAACTATATAAAACTATATTATATTCAATTATGTAAAAACCTAACATTCCTGTTTAACAAAATGTACCATTAAAAAACAATTGAAAAATAACACTTATACCAATCAATCATGTAATGTTTCAATGAGCAACTACAAACACATTTAAAATGAGACAGAGTCTGAACAAAGTAAAATACATGAATATAATGGAAATTTTAAAATTGAAAAAATAGGCGCACTGAGATGGCCATTGAGACTGGGCGTGGTGGCACACCCGTCATCCCAGCACTTGGGAGGCTGTAAACAGGAGAATCAATACGAGTCTGATCTTGTAGTGAGACCCTGAATACCCTGTAGACCCTTTCCTAAAATACAGGAAAAATAAATAAAATAAAATTGAAAAAATATATAACCAAAACAAAAATCTCAGTGAATAGGCTAAAGAGCAAAAAATACAGGAAAGAGAAACAGCACACAACAGAATACTAGAAACTATCCAATGTAGCAGAAAATAAAGCTGAAAAAGATGAGCGTAATGGAAGATCTAACCTTTGTGTCCCCAGAGTCCCTGCAGAAAATAGCAAAATAACACCTGGAAATTCACAAGTCTGGCAAGAGACAAAACTTGCCAATTGAAGAAGCTGAGCAAACCCCAAACCAAATAAAAAAATCCATGCCAAGAAAGCGTAGTTAGGGGCCGGGGAGATGGCTCAGTGAAATAAGCACTTCCCTAGCAAGTGCAAGGGTCTAAGTTCAATCCCCGGTTCCACCAAAAAAAAAAAAAAAAGCATAGTTAAATGTCTGGGGGAAAAAAAAAGGCTGGCGAAGAGAGCTCAGTGGACTAAGCGCCTGCTTAGGCAAACACAGGGATAACAGCTGGATACAGGCACTCCCTGCCAAGCTGGCCCTGCCCCCGGGCATGCTGAGCCGGCCACCCGAGACTGGGCATGGTGGCACACACCTGTAATCCCAGTGCTGGGAAGGCTGAAAACAGGAGGATCACTGTGAGTCCGAGCTGTGTAGTGAGACCCTGTATCAAATGCATAAAAATAAATTTCTGATAAAAGACAATTATTTGAAAGCAGCAAGAGAAAACAAAGATACCTTACCACAGGGGAGACCACTGCCGCAGTGGCTTCTTGGCACCAACTCAAGGCCAACATAAGTGTCAAGAGTTTCTCAGGCACTGAAAGATCTGTCACCCTGGAACTGACGCCCTATGAAAACATCCTTGAGGAGGGCAGGGGCCTTGGACAACATCAGGTGAAAAGATGAAGGAACTGGGTCACCAGAAGATCTTCCTTTGAGACTGTTGAACCAGGAAGTGATAAAAGAAGGAACCTAGGTACATAAGGGAACTGGGTGAACACATAACCAAAAATATGTTTGAATCAATAGACAGCCCTTCTGAGTCTTCTAAATTGCTTGATGGCTAAAGCAGAATTTTAATGCAATCTAATGTGATCCCAAGTCTATCTAGAGGAAATAGTTAAGAAAATTATATTTTAAGTGGCAATGATAAAAGGATGTAAAGGAACATAAAGGGAGGTAAACTTGCTGTACTTAACTGGTAAATTGTGATAGCAGTAGACTGAGGTGTGTGTGTGCGTGCGCGTGCAGTATGTGTCATAAAGCAAACACTAAAACTATTCAAAGAGAACACTACCAGTGAATCAAAATGATGGAAAGTTACCAGGTGTGGTGGCACATGCCCATAATCCCAATACCTGGCAAGGCTGAGAGGAGGCTCACAAGTTTAAGCCAAGCCTAGGCAATTACAAGCAAGACAGTCTCAAAATAAATTTTTAAAAGGGCTGGAGATGTAGCTCAGTAGGAAGGCCATGAGTTCAATCCCAAGTACTATTAGAAAAAAAAAAAAAAATGGTCAAGTAACTTAAGGTAGGCAAGAAAAAAAAAAGAAAAACAAAATTTTGAAAATAACTGGAAAAAAATACAATGGCAGTCTGAGGCCCTAACATTATAATCACATTTAAATGTAAATTATCTAAAATACCAATGAAGAGAGACTGACAGAGTCGATTTCAAAACATGAACAAGGCTGGGATGGGCTCAATGGTACATGAAGAAATAAAGATTAAATGAGTTGCAAGGATGGGGTCCTAATTTGACAGGAATGGTGGCCTGACAGAAAAGGTGATCTGTCTTTCCCACTCTCACCCACCCTTGTGTGTACACACACACACACACACACAGAAGCCACCTCATGTGTCTGTGGCTTCCACACCATGGATTCAAGCAACTGAATCAACAATGTTTTTAAAAAGTGGTATCGGGCCAAGGAGATGGCTCTGTGGAGAAAGTGCTTTCCTGACAAGTGTAGGGGCCTGAGTTCAATCCCTGGTTCCACCAAAAAATAAAAATAAGGAAATAAAGAATAAAAAATAAAAAGTGGTATCTATACTACTAAACATGTACAGACATTTTTCTTGTTATTCCTTATATAATGCAACTATTTACCTAACTTTACACCGCATTAGGTACTGAGGGTGCATAACAATGACAACGGATAGAGGGATGTGCATAGCTGCTTTCTGCAAGTGAGCACCCTCGTCTGCACCCGAGGGCCCTGGAGCCAGTGCCCTGTGGAGACCAAGGAATGACTGTCTTGTTGAGGCTCCACCCCTCCTCCACAACTACAAACAACTCAGTGGAAAAGCAGCAAGGACAGAGGCAACATCACGGCCACCACTAACAGGACCTGACATTTATAGAATGCTGTGGCCAACAACGGCCGAATGCACATCCTTCTCCAGGGCCTGTGGAATACATACTAAGATTGAACATATTCTAGGCCATAAACAAACTACACATTTTAAAAGGTAAAATTATAATACAGAATTTGTTCTTCAACCAGAGTAGAATCAAACAAAGTAGAAGTCAATAACAGAA